CATTTTTTTTCCCATATGAAGGATAATCTTGCTGGGTACAATATTCTTGGTTGAAATTGCTTTTCCCTTAACACTTTGAATATATTTTCACAATCTTTCCTTGTTCACATTGTTTCCAATGGGAGTTCTGCTGTTAGCCTGATGGGATATCCTTTGCAGGTAACTTGCTGTTTTTCTCTTTGCAATCTTAGTATCTTGTCTGTGATTTTGCTCAATCTGGCTATAAGGTGTCTTGGAGAACATCTTGGATTGATTCTATTTGGGGTTCTTTGTATTTCGTGGGACTGGATTTTTGATTGCCTCTCCAGGTTTGGAAACTTCCCTTGCAGGAATTCATGGAATAGATTGTCAATGCCCTAATGAGTCTCTTCACTTTCTGGGATACCAATTATCCAGATGTTTGGATGTTTGATGGTATCTAGTATTTCTCACATATTATTCTTATTTGGGGGGCAATTTTCTCAGTCTTCATGGTGGATTTTTCTTTTTTCTTTTGGAGAGGTTTTTGCTATAGGGCACGTGCGCTCACCAGAAAGACCAAGAGAAACAGAGAGACAGAAAGCGAGAAATCAACCCCCGAGGGGATGGTCACGCCACAATCCCTTCTCCTCCACTGTCCTCTCAGCATCTTGGGCACCCACGCACACGTGCCCAGAGTGAGTTTAGGCCACCGGGTTTGGGACTCATGGAAGTCCAGAGACATAGCCATTACTCTAATTGCTGGTCCAGCATGGTGGATTTTTCTAAGCCAGCAATTTTCTCTTCTACGTCTGAGATTACATTTTCTATTCCTTATCAGACATTTCCATGATTTCCATTGAACTGTCCATGGATGAAGAGGAGCTATTCTTTTCCCTCGGAGGAGTGATATTTTCTTGATTTCCCATATTTCTTGTGGCCCTGCAGTGATTTCTTGTCATTTGATGGATGGTGTGTTTCTTCCTAAACTTGAAGTTAAATCTGAGTGTTCAGGAGTGTGCAGAAAGAGGTGATCTGGAATCTCTTTGCCATTCCATTTTGATCCCTTTGGGGATCAGATTCAGTAGATATCAAGGAATATATTAACCCTAATAGTATTTGGATGTTTGGCTATAGTTCCCTTAGATCCATCTAGAAACACAGAGAATGGAGATTGAAGAGCAGAGAGATGAGATAAAAGAAAAAGTAAAGGAAATGGAGAGAAATAAACACACACGCGCACACACACACACACACACACACACACACACACAACAAAGCAACAACGAAGAAACAGAGAAAAAAAAGGAAAAAATAAACAACTAAAATATTTTTTTTTAAAAAAAGCAAAAAATAGAAAACTGTACAGCGCACAAGCGCCACACAAAATCAGTAGTTCTCAGGAGCCATGAAGGTGTCTTCTGAAGGCCTGCTCCTCATCCCTCCACTTGCGTTTGTGGGCTGGTGGCTGAACTGTCAGTAGAAAATCTTCATTTCTCTTTTTTCCCTGAAATCACTAGTTCTCAGGAGTCATGAAGGTGCCTTCTTATGAAGGCTTGCCCCTTGCCTCTCCCCTTGAGTTTGTGGGCTGGAAACTGAATTATCAGTAGAAAATCTTCATTTCTCTTTTCTCCCCCGAAAAAAGTTCCCAGGAGCCATGAAGGTATCTTCTTCTTCTTCATGTTTCTTCTCTTAAGAACACTAATGCTATTTATAAGGAATCCACCAACATGACCTAATTACCTCCCAAAGGCCCCAATCTTCTAGCAACATCACATTGGAAGTTAGGATTTCAAGGTATGAATTTAGGAGGGCACATTCTTTCCATAAAATTCTGTCTCTGGCTCTCCCAAATTCATGTTCTTCTCACAGGCAAAATGCATTGATCCCATCCCTACCACCCCAAAAGTCTTAACTCATTCTAGTGTCAATTCTAAAGTACAAAAAGTCCCATCTAAATGATTTATAAATCATCTATGGGTGAGATGTAAGGTACATTCACCCTGAGGCAAAATTCCTCTGCAACTGTAAACCTGTGAAACTAAACAGGTGATGAATTAAAAAAAAAAAAAAAGGACAAGCATTAAGAGAGACATTCTTATTCAAAAAGGGAGAAATAAGAAAGAAAAAAGGGGGTGAGGGGTCCCAAGCTACTCTAAAATATAGCAAGGTAAATTCCGTGAGATCTTAAGACCTGAGAATAATTCTCTTCGGCTTGATGCTTTGGTTTCCAAACCCTTTAATGATAGTAACATCATCCCCTACTGCCATGTAGGTTTCTTTGGTTGAGTGGGGGCACCATCCATATTGGTGCTCTTTGGTTGAGTGGGGGTCCGCACATGTTGCTGCTCATTTTTGAGCCAGAGGGTGCTGCCCCTACTGCTGCTCCCTGCAGTGGCCCATCTCTTGAGCACTGTACAGGGGCAACCTACCCCTCCAAATCTTCAAGTTCTGTCTTACATTTGCCTAAGAATTCCTCCTTTGTGTCTCTCTTCTTGCACTCTATTATAAACAGGCAGGAAACACCAATCTGCTCTTTAAACTTAGAAATTGTCTCTGTTAAATATCCAATTTCACTGCACACAAGTTCTACCTTCCACAAAACACTAGAACACAGATACAATTCAGTTAAATTATTTTATATTTTAGAACACTGAATGCCTTTTCTCCATTGTCCAATAATGTATTCCTCATTTCCATCTGTAACCACATGAGAATCACCCTTAATGTCCATATTTCTACCAACAATCTGTACATGATTATTTATGTACTCTCTCAGAAGATGGAAGCTTTCTCTACAGTTCTCTCCTTTGTGAGTCTTCACTGAAACTGCTTTTAAAAGTCCCTTCATGGCCCAGAGTTGTGACACAGTCAGTAGCTAACTGAACTGCAATGCTAGAAGCCACATGACTATTGTTTCAGGTACCTGGATTGGTCCTAAAATATGCAGGCCATGTGCACAGGTGCCCAAGATCCTGACAAGCTGGAAGACTGAATGTCTGTGGGAAGGGGATCATGGCATGCCAACATCCTGTTTAGGGTGCTCTTTTCTCTCTCTTATGTTCACATATACAAGATCTCTATCATGAATAAAATTAAAAGTTTAATAAAGTCTCTTCATAACAATGTCAGCTTTTTCTAGCATGCACCTCAAAACTCTTCAGTTTCTACCAATTATCCAGCTCCAATGATGTTTTCACATTTTTAGGTATTTGTTACAGCAGCATCCTACTTCCTGTCACCAATTTCTGAATTAGTCTATTCCCCAGAGAAATAGAACCAGTAGTTATATGATTATGGGGATTGGGAAGTCCCATAATTTGTCATCTGCAAGCTGGAGGCCAGGAAAGTCAGTGGTATAGTTTGAAGACCTAAAAGCCTGAGTCATTGGTGTATATACCAATTGAGGTCTGAAGGCCTGAGAGTCAGGATACCCTAGGATAGGAGAAGATCATTATCCCATGTCATTCAGTTAGAGTTAATTCATTTTTATTCCATTTTTTTTCATTCTATTAAGGTCCTCAACACATTGGACGATGCCCACCACATCGGTGAGTGTGGACTTTCATTATTTTCTTTCACCAATTCAAATGCTAATCTTTTCTAGAAACACTCTTATAGACATGTCCCAAAATAATGTTTCAGCAGGTATCTGGGTATCCTGTGGCCCAATCAAGTTGACACATAAAATTAACCACCATATCCTTGCAGAGTGGTAGCCCACACAACTACTCAATTTCTATAAAAAATATTTGTTATACATAGAGAAAAAAATATACCTTGGTGAAGCCTATTTGTTCCTTCCGGAAATTTTCCAAGGGTTTGATCAGCAAATCACTAGCATTATGTACCTAGAGAAAAAGTAAAAAACGCAAAAAATATTTTTTAGGTTAACAAGATTCCAATACAAGGTTACTTACTATGGCATTTTCTAATAACACATCATCCTGCAAAATGCAAATTGCTTTTCTGGTTTGTTGGTTTCTGTTACTTTTTTTTTTCACCATTGATCTCTGAAAATCAAATGTATTGAGAGGAAATGAAAGAAAGAACATTATGGGCATTTATCTATAACCTTAATGGTAGTTAGACTTGAATCTTTAATCAATAAATATCTAGAGTCATGTCCAGCAGCAGACACAGAGGACTTGAAGTACATGTTGAAGAGAAAGTGAATGGAACACATATGAAAAGGCCAACTGCACCAAGTATAGCCATTTCATGGGCAACAAATAAGTCAACAATAATAGCATTAGGATAAATCCAGAATAAATCATTTGCAATCCCAGTCTGGTGTTTCACAGAAAATTCCCTTCAGAAATTGAAGTGCATTTGGGAACCAGCAGTTAGCATAATGGCTATGTTGCTAGACTCCCACGTAGTTGACCGCGGTTTGCATCCTGGACCCGGTGACTTAAAACTCACGCAAGGCACGTGTGCATGCATGACCAAGATCCCAAAAGGAGAATGGAGGAGAAGGGATTGTGGCGTGACCATTCCCCCTGGGGGGTGATTTCTTGCTTTCTGTCTCTCTGTCTCTCTCTGTCTGTCTAGCGAGCACACGCGCCCTATAGCAAAGAAAATCTCTCCCAAAAAAAAAGAAGAACTTGAAATGTATTTTACTATCACAGAGAACACTGCAACAGGTCTTCAAATTACCTAAATATAGATGCTCTGAAGCTGAGAGGAATAACCTGTCCAGGTACTATGAGTACTGGCATTGGTAAGATCTGAGATATAAAAACATCAGGGCCAAAGTAGAGATCTTGTTCTGTGGGCAGGTAAAAATACACAAAGCTTTCTCTTCACGTAAACTCCAGAAAAACTGCATCTGTCCAAGGCAAAAATGTAGGACTTGTTTCCTCAATGGTAAGAGTTAGCTTCTTTATAAGGGAAGAGCTCAGAGAAGGCTAGCTTTCTGAATGCACTGTATTAATTTTTATCTATTATGAGACAGAGAAATAAGGGACTTGTTTTTTTATCAAATAAGACATCAAATATCAATAAGACATGATAAATTATCATACCAAAGATAGAAGATAATAGAAATCCAGTTTTGACCAATTAAGAATTCTCCAGATTGGTCCAGCAGATGTAGTGGTTACATCACTGGACTCCCATGCAGATGACCAGATGACCAGGGTTTGCGTTCTGGACCCAGTAGCTTGAAAATCATGCCAGGTGCATGTGTGAGCATGCCCAAGATCCCAGGAGGAGAACGGAGTAGAAGGGATCGCAGAGTGACCATCCTCCCAGAGGGTGATTTCTCACTTTCTTTCTCACTGTCTCTGTCTCTCTCTCCAGCAATTGCACACTCTCTATGGCAAAAACCTTAAATACACACACACACACACACACACACACACACACACAAAGTAAATAAGTACATTCTGTTTTTAAAAAAATTATTCTCCAGACTGAAGAAAAAAAAAATTTTTGAGAGGTTTCTTCACTATAGGGCGCATGCGCTCGCCAGACAGACAGACAGAGGCATAGAGCTAGAAAGCGAGAAATCACCCCCCAGGGGGGATGGTCACGCTGCAATCCCTTCTCCTCCATTCTCCTCTCGGGATCTTGGGCACGCACGCACATGCGCCCGGCGTGAGTTTTAAGCCACCAGGTCCAGGACGCGAACTGTGGTCGACTATGTGGGAGTCCAGCAACATAACCATTATGCTAACTGCTGGTTCCAGACTGAAGAAATTTTTAAACAACCACCAAAAAGCAAGTAAGTTGGAACATTTGTATATATTTGATTCACATTCTCCAGGGACTTTGGGCCTCCCATTTTATGTCTAGCTATGATTAAAAGTTCAATCAATTGATTAAATTTCTAATAGGCAATCGTCTAAACTTTATATGAGAATACCTTGGTGATCCCTGATATTCTGTTCTCCTACAGTTTCTAATACTACCATCCAGGACTGCCAATATCCAGTAGAAAGTATTCAACAAGGCAGAAAGAAATCATTTTTGCCTGAGCAGCAGTAGTAGCATGTCTCCTGATCACCACATTTATATGGTTATGCTTATAAACCCTGTTTGCTAAGAGTCTAAACCTTACAAAACTGCGTAACCTTTCCCTATCCTTTCTAATCCTTATAAAAACTGATCTCTTCTTTGCCAAGACATCCAGGCCCTGTATGATTCTCATTTGTGTCTTTTTTCATCTACTGGATGAATGAAACCATTTTTCAGACCCTATTTTAATTTAGTCCTGAAAATCCTATAACTTACATCTCAGAAAGACACTTTCTTTTATAGGTCACAGATTAGTTTATTTTTAATACCCATCATACCATGAATTCATAGGGAATAGGTTCCAGTAACTCGGGCTCCTTTCCATTGGTTCTCACAAAGTGTGCTTCTCTGGGTAGAGCAGGTGGGCGTTTTAGTTGAACCCAGGTACCTTTCTCTTTGACTTCTTTCTCTTTCTGGTCATTTTCCTTCATATGTTTTAGGAAGCTATCTCTGCTCTTAGAATGATTAATATGCTCAGTATGCACATTAATTATCTTTGCAAGAATCTTGCCCTTAACTTGTTTGTTCACAACAATGCCAAAAGCATGCTGGGTAACACTGTAGACTCTTCCAGTTTTGCCATGGTAACATTTGTGGGGCATTCCTTTTTGAACAGTACCCATTCTGTTGATGTCTACAATATCACCTTTCTTGTAGATTCACATATATTTTGCCAAAGGAACAACTCCATGTTTTTTTTTTTTTGAGAGATTTTCACTGTAGGGCACGTGCACTCGCCAGACAGACAGAGAGAGACATAGAGACAGAAAGTGAGAAATCACCCCCCAGGGGGGATGGTCACGCCGCAATCCCTTCTCCTCCATTCTCCTCTCGGGATCTTGGGCACGCAC